ACATGCTTCTGTTACGAAAATTGGCTAACAGGGCTGGAGATTTAGCTCAGTGTTGCTGCACCTGCAAAGTCCTGAGTTCAACCCCTATACAAAAAAAAATGGCCAACATTGAGGTTTTTCTTCTTGTTTCTTTCATTTATCTTCTTCACAAGAAATGCAGAGCCTTTTAATGGCTTCTTTGCTATAACATAATGAAGGCAGTAAACTATAATGGAGAACTCATGGGCTTTTAAAGCCAGGTAGAACCTGGGCTTGAATGAATCATAGCTCCTCAACTCACCAGCTGCCTGGAGTTTAGTCAGGCTAGAACCTGACTTTTCTTGTCTGTAAAACCCAGATATTAAAATGCCTATTTCAAAGGGTTGTTAACGATTATTCATAATAACATGTAAAAATTTTAGTTGAAACTGACACATGGTAAGGGCCCAATTAATGTTTTCTAACCCTTTCTTTCCAAACATTTAGTGGAACGGAGGCTTTTAATAAGTTAAACTGAGAAGTGTCTTATATGATAAAACCATAAATGTTTGTTCATATTTTCTAAATTCATAAACTAGTCTTTGAGCAACTACTAGCCATGATGGGAATTATTTTAAAAATACTAAAGCCCAGTCATCTAGCTACTGATAAGCTAGTAAGAGAGAAAGATAAATGAATAACACACTTACGAAATGTGTTAAGAAGTAAAAACCGTGTGCTACTAGGACATATACGGTAGAAGCAATTTTTTTTTTTTTTTTTTTATATGATAGATAAAAAAATGTTTGAAAATCCAACTTTTGAAGACAACGTTGTTACATATATAGAAAAAAAATATTTTTTGCATGTACCTTGATGGTTCACTTTTATTTTTTAATTGTTTTCAGCTTTAATTGAGTTTATTGGTACATTTTAGGGATACAGTACAGTTACATTCATTGTTGGGATCGTGTACCCCTACATGATAGGTCTTGATTCATTTTTTCCCCTTGTCCCTACCCTCCCTTCACCCCCTCCTCCAAAGAGAATTTTGATAATGTGTCAAAGCATTGGAAAAGCCTCTAATGTAATTTGCGTAACAATGTGTATATCCTCTTGAGGTTCTGTTTTTTAAAGAGTAAAACATAAATTACTATTTTCATTGGTGCATGTTGTCTATGACTGTTGAAGTGTATTGGGGAACTGAAAACTTAGTTTAAATATTGTCCAAACATACATTTTCAATATAAACTACTTAGTCCTAATGGTCATATTCCTAATGGTCATATTTCAGTGCTTTAGGGGGAGGGTTGCATTTTGGAACTCTTACTCTCAGGGTGACAGTGAAATATTTTGAGTACTAATAGCAGTTTTGTGAGTGACCTTCATTCAAGATCTTAAAATACAATTTGTGCATTTTTTAACCAATATCACTTGTCTCAGGCCCAAATTTAAAATGGCTTTTCTTTAAACAAACTCAGTAAGACCTATTGAAAATATCCAAACTTCTCTTTAAACAAAATTTTATCCCAATAATGTTTAATTAAATAGTATTTTATTCTATGCTGCAAATATTTTAAAGGTCTTTTAGAATTAATTCTCTTGTTCTCTTGTTTAGTATCTTCTGGCATCTTGTGTGTGTGTGTGT